AAACTAAGCTAGATATCAAAAATCTGAGATACGGTTTTGTGAACACACATTTGAGAAGCAACCCATCCAATTTTCAGAGAATTTGGTCAATAAATAAGGGAGCTGAATCCTTTGAAATAATACCACAAACTGTCTGATCTTACTTTACAGTAGAGGGCAAAAACCCATTACACAACAAAATCTGCCAAAGCTAGGAATACATGACACCTTGGAGATTCAGCTTTGGATACCTGTCACTTAGCCATATTTCCTATGCATATTCACAAGAATGGGAGGTTCTTTTCTGTATTTTGATGCTTTTAATTAAGCAAAATAGGTTAAATTCTGAATCTGAAAGATTTTCCGGCAAAATGGCAAGAGCTAAGCTCCACCTCCTATTTTATGGTCATCAGTGATCTGTTAGATCTCTTTCTCTAAATCTAGAGTCCCTGTAGTTTAATTACTGATAACCTCTGTGTGGCTATTGAAGAATTCCCCAAGTGGTCACAGTGATTTATTGCGTCTTTCATGAGCAGGCAGTCACAGATCAAATCAGAAGCTTCAATAACGGAACATTCACATGTGGTAGTGTTTATGTTTCATTATTGTTAAATAACTAGAAAACCATTTCATAATTACCAAGAATTTTACATGCATTATCAAGCAGTGATTAACTTCTTTTTCTTAGCCAAAAATCTCAAAATTGTTGAAAATCTTGAAAAAAGCCTTTGGTGTATCCTTAAGTGTTTGCATATTAATGTACCCTCCTTCATGTTTTGGTAATCAGAGAAGAAGCCACAATAATGTATAATTTACACAAAATGTATACGTTTTGTCAAATGGAGCATAAAATGTTCGTGTTATCATATTGCCCATGGGCCTCTTCTGTAAGTATTTCATATGCTAAATTCATTACCAGTCTGAAATTACGGTATTTAATGATGTAAATTCTGTTTAAAAGAGAATTTTCTAAAGAAGATTTTTGTTTAAGGAAAGGTGGACGTAAAGTTTCGGCCCATAATTAGAACCTGTCCAATTTATTGTGAAAACAACAAATATTATAATAGTAGTGCAAAAGAAATTTTGATCATTTTTAAAATTTTATGTGCCAAAATGATCTTTTATCAGTATTTGGGTAGGAAAAACCATTTCAAACCCTTACCCGATCAACTCTGTCAAAATCATCCCCCTACAATTCACCTGTTTTCCTGCCATATTTGAAATAAATAAAACAAATTTATGTTTAAAAAAAAATAAAAAAAAAAAAAAACATCATTTTTAATTATAATATAAATTTCATACATGTACAACTCTTTAAAAAAATTTCTAGACCGTGTCTGGCGTTGGACTTGCCTCACATTACCAGTACTAGTTTTATCTTATCATTATTTGATTGTTTGTTGTGAAAGTGATTATCAGTAGGAATTCATAGTGTTTTAATGGACTATTGTTTTATGAAGTTAACAGTACCTATAACTTGCGTTAGGTGCATTATAAGTATTGTGTGCCACTAAAAGATAAGGTATAGAACGGGATAAAACATTTTCTGAAATGCAGAGAGTTAGGATCCTATACATTCAGCTTACAAAGGCTCAAAGGTCATTGGATGCCACACGTAAGTTATACATTGAAGCAAGTCCCAGGGGTCATTTCTACTCCCTGGAACCGGAAACAATCAAATAGCTTTAATTAAAATCAAAAGCCCTAAAGTAATCTTTGTATTATGGCACTTTAAATGAGTCCACGCCCCCCCCCCCGACCGGAAGTCATCCTCACTGAACTATATCATGATCAAATATATCTTAAAAACGGTTAAAACTTTTCTCCTTAACCATCATAATCTTGTTCTTTGGTCTTTATGCATTAAAGGTACAAGGATTATGACCCCCTGAAAATTATAACAATATGACGCGTCAAAAATGAATCAGCCCACTTGACATATCATATTTAGATTCCCACCACTAAACTTTGTGTATATTTTGTATATATTCACATTTTTTATGTCAAATGTCAAAACAAAGTTTTGGTTTGTATACATGAACAACGGGGGGGGGGGGAGGGGTCTGGGGAGGGGAAGGAGATATCTCTGCGTGGTTTCAAATGTTGAAAACTATTTGTGAAAAGTAACCTCACTTGTCATCATTCATTTCCTACTCTACCTCACAAGATATATGCATGTTTTAGTCCATAGATCATGGACTTTTCGGTCATATTCCTAGCCCTCCCTTAAGTCACGAATGGTGATATAAATATTTTGAGAATATTAAGAATTAAGCAGATCCTGCACAATCTCTATTTTATGCTGTGCAATTGCATTAGGCCAAGCTACACGGATATTATAGCTTGATTTGTCTCCTCCTCTCTTTCTCTCTGTCTGACATCTACTTTGGCCAAAAATGAAAATAGAATTTTGAGTTTTTTTTAATTGATTGAATAAGTTTACGCACCATATTGTCTTCGATTTACATATACATGTACATGTTATTTCAAAAGGATACAGCCAGAAGTCATTTCTCATGATTTGTTACAAATTTCATATGGAAGTCCTATTGCTCAAGTAGTTTGTTTTTGGTGGAATCTTTCTTCTTAAAGGTTTTTTTTTTTTTTTTTGGAGGAGCAGTTTGATTTGTTTTGTTGTTTAAGACAATAAAAAGGCATCGTTTTTGGCCTCCCAATCTGGCCTTCAGGTTGAAAATGAAAATACTGAAATTTTATTGAACATCTACAGGACAGCAGCATTATCTATCAAAAGACCGTCACGGTAGCTGAGTCGGTAGAGCGCTCGCTCCGTGATCGGAAGGTTGTGTGTTCGAATCACGGTTGCGACTGACTAAATCGATAAAAAAAAAATATGTAGCAACTGTTCATTCGCCAAGCGCTCGGCACTTTGAAGTGAAAATATCGGGTCATTCGGATGAGACCTTAAAAACCGAGGCCCCGTGTCACGATAGGCCTTAAAGAACCCTCACTGCTCAATGGTCCTGAGTGCCAAGAAAAGGTATAAATTTGAAGCCCTTCACCGGTATATGGTGAGGTCTCTTTATGAGTGAAAAAATTCTCAAACGAGACGTAAAACAACATTCAATCAATCTATCTAATCAAAGGATGATCTGGCTATTGTGTAAAATGTGTTCTGGGAACGATTTTTTCTTGTAGGAAAAGACGTCTTTTTTCTACCCCTATTTGACCCCATGTTGAAAATTCCAAAACCTTCCTGCAAATCTACACAACGCCAACCATTGTCCAAAAGATAATTTAGGTACAGCGTAAAATGTAAGAGTTTTGGGAACTACGTTTGTGTAGAAAAAAAAGTCATTTTTGACCCCTACGTGGCCCCAGGTTGAACACGAAGATTCAGGCACATTATTACAGTACACCAGCAATTTAAAAGGCTACTACGTAAAATGTAAGAGGGGTACTAAGAACCTCGCTTTTGGGGGGAAAACCGTGTTTTTAACCCCGTTTTGTCCCAAGGGTAAAAAATTTGAAAATTCAAAAACCTTATCCCTCAACTACAGGGCTCTAATATTCCGAAAGATTAATTACTTAGTTCTTAAAATAAAAGAGGAGTTAGGCAAAAGAAAGTGTGACGGACGGACCGTCCAGGATTTCAATATACCCAAACTTTCTTTAGAAAGTACAGATGTAATATTCTATATTGCTGAAGTTGATAAAATATCGTCAAAGACAGCTTGCTTGAACCTGCTACCTTTTTTATTTTATAGAGAAGTGGCGTTTCTTTGTCAAAGAGAGAGATTTATTAAATTGCATCAAACCAAAGCCTTCGTTCAATCCTATTAAAATCATTGTATTGCATGTTTGTTTTTTTTTTCATTTCAGAAATTTTACACAGGTCTTCAGTTTCCGGTCACGGCTGCTGTTGCGTCAGGCAATAAGTCAAAAAACAAATACAAAACCATATACCCGTGTAAGATTTAATTCAGAATTTTATCTTCATGATGTGACTCTTATTTAATGGCTCTAGCATGCACGCAAATACAAATAGGAGCCCAGTTTGCTTAGGGCTAAATCTTGACTAATGAAGAAGTCCTTCGTAATGAAATAAATAAACAATCCTCCGATACAATACAAATGAGAAATTATCGAGTACAAATTAGGAAATTACACGATGCAAATGAAAAATATAGAATGCAAATGAAAAAAATTATACCATTTATATGATTTTTTTTTTTTACGATACAAATGAAAAATATAGAATACAAATAAAAAAAAATATACAAATCAAATGAAAAAATACAGAATACAAATGGAAAATTATAGAATACCAATAGGAATTATACGATACAAATGAAAAATTATTCAACTCGAATAAATAAAAATTATACAATGCAAATTGAAAATTATACAATACAAATGGAAAATTTTACAATGCAAATGGAAAAGATCGAATATTTTAACGTTTGACTTGCCATAAATAAGCTTTTCTTAACTTTTGAATCATTTTTATTTTTGATTTAATGATGTAGACGATGAGACACGTGTTAAACTGAACACGGAAAATGAACCTGCTAAATCTGACTTCATCAATGCTTCTTTTATACACGTATGTATATTAGTACATGTATATTTCATACTAAAATCATAGAATTATCAGAAATGTAATTTTATGTTTACTCCTCGTAGACATCTGATGCAACCTCTGGATTGGGGGGGGGGGGGCGTTTTTATGCCCTGCTTATATATTTGTATTTTTTTTTATCACTGTTTTTTATCCTTACCTTTTTCATTTATGACAAAATGTCTTTAAAATTATTTGTTATAAATATAATTGATTTAAATTTTGTTCAGGGATATGGAAAAGTAAAAGCATATATTGCTGCACAAGGTAGGTTGCATATCATACAGTATCTAGCCTCATTCAATTCAAATTCCGTACAGCTCTAAAAGGAAAAGGTAAAAATAAAAGACTAATTCTTTAACGCACAAAAAAGTATTATATGCACTCTTAGTAATCTTATTTATGTTTTATTGCTACCTACATTTCAATGCTCAATTAAAGTATGAAGGTATGATAATACTATTGGGGGTTTTAATAATGAGAGAAAGAGCTTACATTTTGTATTCATTTTTTTTTTTCATTCAAGGACCTTTATTGGATACCATTGATGATTTTTGGTCGATGGTATGGAATGAGAATTGTGGAAAAATTGTGATGCTTACAAACTTATTTGAGAATAACAAGGTAATATAAATAGATTTTTAAAAAGTTCAAGTTTATGAAACGCGTATACCCCATTCAGATATGTTTATGCATTATTCATTTTGAAGGTAGTTTTTAAGAAGTTTTGTTCTTAAGTACTTTCATGTAAATTTCCAATATCCATAAAAAAATAATTTTGTAAAGAAAAGTTTGATCTTCATATAATTCAGTAGCATACTAATACCAGACAGCTGATTAATACCGTAAAATACGTGAAGTGGACTAGATGCATTGACAACCAGACCAGACCAGACTACAGATGCATGTACAAATGATAGTTATTTCATTTTGATATGTGGAATTAAGTTTAATGGGTTAAATTTATTATTAAAACATAAATACCGTAGTGTATATCCATTAAGGATTCCTATTTTTAGATCTGAATTTTCTTTACATCATACTGACCTATTAAATAAGCATAAATATATGTTTCCATTTACATGCTGCAGATGATGATATCCAAATCTTGTCATATTGAAAAAAGTTTCACTGTTAAACATGTAGAATTCTTATGGAAATAGAGTATTGATGCTTGACATCATTGGAAACTAGACATGAACATGCACTTTACGAAATTTCATTAAGACATTGTACAAACAATAGTTATTTTGACCACTGATCGGAACGAATTTGGAAAAGGTAGAGTGAAATAAGATTCATCGTAACCATCTATTTTTCTTAGAAAACTGTTCTATAGTCATGTACTTATTACTTGTGGATTCTCTGATTATTCCTTGTCATAAAAATATTTCAGCAAGTACTTGTTATATGTTTCAATATACATGTGCATGTTAAAATCATTTGGTACTAAGCTTTTCTTAAAATACTATAGTGAGCAACGTTGTTGGAAAGGGTGACAATTAAATTTAGACTATTAAATCTCTCTAGAGATTGCATACAAAGAATGATCTCAAATATTTATATTTCAAACCGCTATTCTTACTTGTTAAGGTTTGTAGTACAACTTTCACATAATGTTAGAATAGGGTAAGATTTTTGCTGTCGTCTAAGCCCCCACTCGTTCTTGATGACTTGTTGAACAATCTTGCCAATGACTTAACACAAACATCAAAGGCAGCTAGGTGTAGTATTTAGAATTAAACAAGTAGAGCTCACATCCATAGTTTGCAATTGATGAATACTTTGATAAATATGTACATGTTGTTTTAGGTAAAATGCATCCAGTATTGGCCTGAGAAAGATCTAATTAAGAAAGGGAATCTTATCGTAGAATTTGTAGATATGGAAAAGTTTGCAGACTTCACAATTCGAACATTTTGCCTTAAAAAGGTTTCATTTTATTTTAATTCATCTTTAATCGAGTCCTTGGCATATTATTGCAGTAATAATTCAGTGTATTTCTTTATTTCATATATGTTACATTAGCAAAATGAACAGAGAATCATCCGACATTTTCACTTCACGGCTTGGCCAGACAAAGGGGTGCCTCTTTACGCCTCATCGTTAGTTCATTTTCACTCCAAAGTCAAAAACACCTCAGCTCAGGCCAAGGGACCTTTGATTGTACATTGCAGGTTTTTCTTTTCATTCTTTAAAAAGTTTTCTCAAAGAACTGTTATTTTCGGGTGTATTTTGCACTCCGTAAACCTTCTTGAACATCCTTTTGACCATTTAGTGCTGGGATTGGTAGAACGGGTACGTTTATAGCCTTAGACTTCCTGATTCAGCAGGCCAAAGAATCTGGCTTTATAGACGTGTTTAGGTGTGTGGAAACATTGAGACGACAACGTGTCCACATGGTCCAGACTTTGGTACGCGTGTTGAATAGCTTAAATACATATTCTTTAAATTCTTTTTACTTTGTTTTGCTTTTTTACTCGTAGTGATAAATCCTTTGCATCTAAATTAAATACTTGTTTTAGGGACGTTTTGCTACAATTTACTTTGTAATGAATTAAAAATCGTTTTACATTTCTGTAAAAAGGAGCAGTATATATTTCTTCACGATGCCTTGGTGGAAGCATTAATGTGTAAATCCTCTGATCCCTCCACAACTGAGTTTTATCAGATTTATCAAGATCTGATGAAAGTAGACCAAAAGAGTGGCAAAAGGAATGTCGACCAATATTTTGAAGTAAAACATTTTCATTTTTGATCAATAAAGCTCCTTTACTTCATGTTAAATTCATTGGTATCAAAATGGTTTCACAATTGAATTTTGTAGAACCTCTGTAATGGTTGTAATGAAGTTCCTCAAGCCGCCTACGACTTTGCTAAAAAACAGGAAAACAGAAGAAAAAACAGATACAGCAATATTTTACCAAGTATTTTAAAATTAACAAAGTTTCAATCATAAGTTCAAGTAAGCTTCTTTGATAAGGTTGTCTGGTGTCCGTCTGTACGCACATGCGTATGTACATGAATGAATGCTTGTATGCAAGTTACTAGGCATATTTCAATTTAACCATTTACAGCACATGCTGAAATAAAGAGAATTCAAGTTCATTTAACTGAGAGAACATTCTGACTATCGGAGAAAAAAGGAATGTGGTCTTTCTGTGTGTTTGGGCGGCAATTAAAAATCTTCTCAAGAACCATTTTCCAGATACATGTAAGGCATAAGTTATAATGTGAAAGCTTCCAGACAAGCATGTAAATTGTATTAGCTTGCTGATATCATAGCCTGTAATCTGGGGCTGGGGTCTAGGCAGGAATGGGCAAATAACTAGGTGGAAAATATGACTAATAATTAGTTTGTTTAGTTGACGATTTATGCTTACTTAAATAATTTCACTGTCATTTACATGTACGTCAACCGATAGCTTTTACAAAAGTGATCAGGATTATTTTTAATTACTTAATATTTAGAATCACTGTACATGTATATTATCTCCGTTATTTCTCATGAAAACCACGTTTGTTTATCAATCAGTAAAGGCCGCTAAGCAAGTCTCCTGTGTAGATTACTTGTGCAGCTGCTCTTCCATCAATGAAATATACCATGACATACATATCAATAATGCATTTTCATTATATATATATATATATATATATATATATATATATATATATATATATATATATATATATATATATATATATATATATATATATATATATATATATATATATATATATATATATATATATATATATATATATATTGTTTGAATCAAATAGTAGTTTGGTTTTTTAATGACATGTTTGTGATTTGGACCAAGAAAGTATGGATCATGCAATAGCATTTGTTAACAACTTACAAACATAGGGCCTAGGTTGTCTTCATTTTATTTCAAAATATATTATAGGGTTATTGAACTTACATTGGTGAATAATTTGATACGAGTAGCTTTATAAATGCACGTGCTTGCGAGTGCATTTACATGTACAGCCAATGAGTGCCAATATTCATCAATATAAATTCAATAACCCTTTTGTTCTCTATGTTAAACATTTTCCAATTGATGTATATTAATTATTTTAATCAAATAACTTAAATTAATGAGGACTTTTCAGTATCGGTATTTAATTATAAATTAAAACTGAGCAATATCAGCGTCTGTCCTGAAAGGGTTCAATATTACATCATTCCAATGACCCTACCAAGCGTTATGATTTGCTTACTGGTGTTTTGTATTGAGGCTTATAAGAACTAAACATTTATTGATATTTTAACTTTGTGTGAAATAGGTACATCTTACCTAACTGCGACTACCCATCATAAATATTGCTGTTGAGCTGTCGACAGACGTCATTTTTGTTGCTTACAACGGGGCGTTCGATATTGAACGATCGCATTCAGAATGTTTCGGGCATATACTCTTATACTCTTATTATATTGCAAACTCAGTGCTCAATAAAAGGCCAACATATTGACGCTAAAATTCTCTTGACTTTTATTAGTTTTTCATTATATGCTATTTATTAGCTATATAATGAAGGAAAACATTAATTTTCTCTTATCAGGAAAAGCTGTAATACCTACTTTTTCAAGAACTACATTTACATCTGTTGAACACTACTTTCAACAATCGCCTTGTTCATTTATTGGTGTCTAATCTAGTTTTTGGGAATAAATTCCCGTTTCCCTTTGAACAACTTTAGTACAATGATAAACAGAATGAAGATGATATTAATGCAAGTATGTATACTGTTTTAGTAGACACCGCAATGCCACAGATTTGGGATGAAAAATGCAAAACCCTCTATATCAACGCCGTTTTCCTGCCGGTAATACATGTGTTTACTTCTCACAAATGCATCTTTCTACAAAATGTTAGTGCATTAACAAAATTAATCACCAATGAGACAGAGGAAACTCAAAATAAGTACTTCTTTACACTTGAAAAGAAACTGAATATGCAAACATTTAATTTAAAAATTTAATTATTCTTGAAGCAATACATCTGTTTACTTAACGCTATCCTATCTAACATTAAACAATTCACTCTTATCGCAGAATTTATTGATCACTCATGATATAAAGCTTTATTTAATATTATTTTGTCGTCAGGCTTTTTTGAAAATCTTGGTTTAAATTTTATATCATTTTATCCAGAATATTTCAAATGTTTTTCAGGGAACAGAACGGACAGAATGATAATGATTTAAATATATTTTGAATATAGATATCATGTATGTAATATAGACCTTTGTATAAACAATAATCTATTAGGGTGTAATTTAGAAATATTTTGAATGTATGTTTCAGGCCTACAAAAATAGGCAATCATTCATAGTGACACAAATGCCTCTCAGAGAAACCGTTGTTGACTTTTGGAGACTGGTTTACCAGCATCGCGTTTCTACTATCGTCCTCCTCGGTGAAGTAGAAAAACATACGTCTGAATTGAAACAGGTTCTTCTTTCTTTTTTCCCTCAAAATTACTTTTTGTATTTATGAAACATATTAAAAGTACAATTTTCAAAATGTCACAAATTTCTTAAAGATAAGTTTCAAGTATTACTTTTCAAAAGCAGCAATAACTAGAACACTGCCTGACATTAAGTTAATCTTCTTCGAACACATATAGGCTAGAAACTTATTGACAAGCGGAAAACAAAAAAGAAACATTTAAAATCTTTTCCAAACATGAAAAACATATTTCGTGTGTGGGTGGGAAGGGGTTAACCATTTCCTTACCTTCAGTCCTTAAGCTTCATATGTATGGCTCCTCCTACGAAGTTAAAAGGGGTCCTTTTTTTAAGGGGGAGGGCCAAAGATATTTTTTTATTTAATTTACTATGTACATTTCATAACTTAAACGTTCAAAACGGAGGGAGGGGAAGGGGTCCCGACCTTTCCCCCTCTAGATCCGGGTATGAATTGTTGACTGCATGGCTATTTATTTATTTCACCTTTTTCGATGCTCGCACAAGGACATGAAGGAGATGTTGTGACCTGCTTTAATGATTTCATATATATATATATATATATATATATATATATATATATATATATATATATATATATATATATATATATATATATATATATATATATATATATATATATAAGGATGCATATAAATTTTAGAATGTAGGACAGTATTGGCCAGAGGTCACTGGTAGCATGAAATATGGGCCTATTACCGTAACCAGAGAAATCTCCAGCTCAACAGATGAAGATGAGAATTACAGTGTTATTAAACTTATCTACAGTTTAAAGAAAGGGGTAAAATACTTTTTAGTGATGTATATAGAAAACATTTTCAATTATCAAAATTCCTTTTGTCTACAGTGGATTTTTTTAAACGTTGATCAACAAATTAAAAAAAAAAAGTACCCATTGATTAAATAGGGTTTCTGCTTAAGTAAATTTGTCTTGAATTTTCATTCTCATTCACATTTTAAACTTTGCAAAAACATATTTTGTTTCTTTATGCAAGTTTACTATATATCATCTATCATTTAATAGGAAGAAAGGATGGTCAAAATATTCAAGTGCAATTTCTGGAGAGAATGCGAGACAATTCCCTCGTCAATCTCACCAATTTTGAAGTTGATAAATGACGTAGAAATGCATCATACTAAGAACAATACAGGCCCTATCGTTGTCCAGTGCAGGTAAGATTTGTAACCTCTTAGAACAAGGATTCTTATTTTTAATATATGATATTCGACATAAATCTGAAACATTTTACATAGTTTATTATATGAATAAATGTCTTTCTTAGGGGTTGAAAATTAAAATTTCACATGATTTGAAAATAATTGCCAATGAATTAAAGACATAGGTATTTGGGGAGTACGCATAGTTAAAATTAGTGTCCTCTTGTGTTCTTAAAATTGAAAAGCATGCAATTAATTTGTCGAATATTCAGTATTTTCAAAGCAAGTAGTAGCTAGTGATTAAATGGTTTATTCTACAGAAATGGGGCTGAGAAAAGCGGCTTGTTTTGTGTCTTGCAAGTCGTGTTGGAAAGAATGAAAATAGAACAAGATGTAGCCATCCATCAAGTTATTCAGCACATGCGAAGCATTAGACCCAGCATAATTTCAAATGTGGTAATGTGTCAATTTCTTTACAGTTTGTCGCTGTGTAAGATTGAAAATATGTCATTTAGACTGAGAAGTTTTTGGTATTTTATTGTCCTTCCTTCTTCTAGAGTATGATACAGCATATTCTGACAAATTACACAAAGTATATAAATGTGTGTGATAGGCATTGCTTTCTTACTTGAACATTAGACGTTGTTATACCTTTAAAAATTGTTTCCTATATAAATCTATACTTTAAAAAGTCTGACATTGTCAATGTTTTGCTGAGCGGTCCATTGAAAATCGATGTTTGACCGCTGAGTAAAATATTGGACCTATCGACGAGATATTGGACCGCTACGTCACAATGTGGGCGGGTAAAGGAAATTTACATCATGGAAACCAGTGCAAGATACATGTATATGTAAATAAAATAAAAGGTATAACAAAACATTTATTGACTGTGTTCTCGGGCAAAATGCGTTTTGTCGACCCTCGAATCAAACTGTTTCCTAACGGCCTCAGGCAAACAGTTTGGTTCTTGGGTCCGACAAAATGCATGTTGCCCTCGAACCCAGTCAATAAATGTATATTGTTTTTTTATACATTAAAACCTGACTGGTACTCTAAGACTACATAACAGCTCTGTTTATTTAAAAAATATATATAACAGAAAACGTGTTGAAGTGTAAACATCTTGTTATCATTTATTTATATGACGAAAAAAGTGTAATCTATAACATAAATACAAATGAATCGAGGAAAGATTGTTGACATATAAACTGATTCTTGACTAGAATTGCAAGTCAGTAAATTATTACACAACAGTGGTCTTTCAGTGACAATATTGTTACAAAACAAAAATGTAGTAATGCCATAGAATACATCTATTTTTATATATTTGAAACAAACATGGTGATTAAAAATGTTTGCATACAAAATTTGTTTTTAAAAAATCGCAAAATTCTTAAATTAACAGTGTGGTGGAGAGGTGAAGGTTGCTCTTTTTCAGTAAACAAAAGAAATTATGTAAATCAGGTGGTGCCTTGCGTTGTAATCTAATTGGCTGAGAGACAGATTAGGATTTTGATACAGAAAAGGGATCATAGTTAGAAAAGATGTAAAGGGACATTTTATTTTTGTTTTATAAAAAATGTTTTTGTACAATATCAAAAAATACATTACATTCTTATGTTACGTCAACATATAATAATATTACAGAATTTTTTATAAGAAACTTTATTTTAAAATAAATCTTATTTTGTATTGGATTTTGTGTGCAAATTTACTTCTATGACAATCTCTTTTTGGGTTGGAAGCATGCACCATTTTTTATGAAGAACTTAGGAAAAAAAATCTCTTGCCTAAACACATTACAATTATTTAATAAACGAAATGGATTTTACGTATTTTCGTATACTGATCAGTAAAACAAGTGATATAATTGATAATTCTCATATAATGTGGACTACAATGTTTGTATTTTCAGGAACAGTTTCAGTTTTGTTATGATGCTGTTATGGAATTCATCAAGCAATATGAAACCTATTCCAATTTCCAATGAGAAAATTTCCTTATTTTTTTCCAAGAAGTGGAATATAACATTGTTTAAGTACTGCTTTATTAAAAAAAGTTGGTTATCTGTATTCATTTTCATTGTAATTATAAGCTTGTAATTAACGTATAGTGAAATTCTTTAGTTTAAAGATTCGTCAGTTTTTTTAAGATTTTTTTGTTTTATTACTATTTTTCTTAATTATTTTTTGGATTGTACTGACATTTTTGAAAGATATTTTTTTTCTTTTTTTCTCCCTGAAACTGAAATACCCGAATGATATAAACAGAAACGCTGTAGTGAAGTATTTGTTCAGTGAAAAGCATACTTAATCTATTGTTTTTCTCCTCGGAAAACAAACCGTCATCTTTAAGAATGCACAAGATTGTAAGATTGTAAGATTTTTTTCAAGTATTTTTTTTAAATATACAATTTGTTATAATTATGTATTGATTTGCGGGATATTTTGATTATTTCCAATCCAAATATTTAGAATAAAATGAATTTAACCTGAACTAAGACTTTCTCTTACTTTTTGACATATGTTTGTTTTTAATCGTCTTCAACGAGCTATATCTTAAAATATGGAGAAACTATGCATGAAATTTTTTTAACCGGATGCTGTATTTTATCTTAATTCTATTAGTATTTGTTTCTTTTTTATAAAATATATGGAGATAACGAAAAGCTCAGAAGTCCATTTAAACAATACAAATCAGAAGCAGAGCAAACAGGGACCTCTAAAACATCAGAGGTGGGATCAGGTGCCATTCAAGAGTTAGCATCCCCTGAAGACCGGTCACACCCGGTGTGTGGTCCTTGTCATGATCGGAAAATAACGGAAAAATCCGACGACAATTCAGTGTGTAAATAATGGCCTAATAATTAGTATGATAAACGTCATTCAGCATTTGACTTAATGATAGATTGTATTTCCTGACAAGGTTATTGTATCGACCATAGAACTTACGAAATAAAGACTTCAAATGGGACCGTTGATATTCTTGTTTCATCAACTCGTTTGTCAATAACTTTCTCGGTTTGTAAATTGTTCATACTTAGAGCATGCTCTTGCATATCGAATCAACTGAGAGATATAAACTCCGTATACAGGTGATGACGGTATATTGCTGCATAAGTAAGGGAAGTTGACGGATGAAAAATTGAAGTCATCACGTTTATCACAAAGCTAAGTTGTTAGGTTATTTCTATTAAATTATCCAAATATGATTTGTAAGGCTCTATTGTATCTTTCATTTTAAGCTCACTGGGATATATCGTGTCGACATGTAAATGGAAATAACTATTGTTAATTGAAAATATGCCGTCTTTTTATCTAAATTAAGAGTTGAAGGCCACAGCAAGTGTTTCCTTCTTCTTGTGTATAGGCTTTTGAATAAAGTCTTCTTCATATGAATACAAAAATAAGTCTGCTAATAACGGTGTGCAATTGGTACCCATGGGAATTCCAACAGATTGTTGGACGACCTGGTCTCCAAAAACCTACATAGATATTGCCAATCAAAAACTCAAGCACCTTTTTGATATCAACTTTTGAGTACTTGTTTGTACGATCAGAATGTTTTTTAACCAAATAATTTTGCAAATAACCAATGACAAGGTGAGTAAATTTACGAGTTCCATTTTATTGAAAAAGCAGCTATCAATGATGTCAAAAAGCCTGGACTTTATAATTCAAGAAGCCTGGGCCATATATTTCAGTGCTGCTACAATATATGCTTTAGAATTCAAAACGAGTTTAAACATACATAAATTATCACCATTCCAGAATAATTAAATGCAATTTTCATTATAATTTTTGCAAAAGAATATTTCAAATGACAAAACAAAACCTGTGATATCAAGTGATTTGAGAAAACGTATACGTTTGACTATTAAAAAGTATAAGGTACGTAGTATACAAATTAAAGTATTATATTTATACCCCTAGGTTCACATATTCTTTATCTTATCACTTCAAATTGTTATTGACAGAATTGAAGTGCGAATCTATTGTTAAAAAAGTATATTGATAAAAGGGTTTCTTCAAACACAAAACTCGGAAAATAGTTCTTAGATAATAAATTATGCAGTTAAAACTTAGATTATTATAAATGAATTCATCAACCCGGGTTTGTTCTATCCATGGATTAGTGTTAAACATCAATAACAACAAAAAATGAAAAATGCTTAGTATATATCTGTCAGGGTTTTACAATTTGTAGGCCATCTAAGCTTAATTCACGCTTCTGTAATCAATGTCTATGTTGAAATATTTGACATTCTTAAACCCAAACCTTATTTATTTATTTTCCTATTCATCTCCCTCGAACAATCAGTTTTCAAAAGATTTTCCTTTCAACTTGTCTGTATATTATCTTTTAATATCATTTATCAGCTTATATACTTATATCGAATAACCCAGTATATCCTACAGACATTCCACGAATGTTGCATCTAAAACCTGTTGATTATAAACTTTGCCGAAACTTTTGCCATCTAAAACAAAATTTCTTTGTACGTTCTTGTTCTTTTTAACAGTCGTAGTCCTCATGGATACATCTATGGCATGTCAAACGTTGCAATATTCGATCTTTTCCATTTGTATTGTAAAATTTTCCATTTGTATTGTATAATTTTTATTTGTATTCTATAATTTTTCATTTGTATTGTATAATTTTTCATTTGTATTGTATAATTTTTCATTTGTATTGTATAAATATTTTTATTTGAATTGTATAATTTTCCATTTGCATTCTATATTTTCCATTTGCATTGTATAATTTCTTATTTGTATTGTATAATTTCTTAATTGTATTCGATAATTTCTTATTTATATTCGATATTTTTTTCATTTGTATTGTATCCGCCGAGAGATTATATTTTTTTCGTTACGAAGGATTTCATTGGTCAAGTTTAAATCTTTATTGTTGTATAGTGTTCAAACAAGTGAGATATGTTTTCGAGTGAACTGGACTCCTATACATGTATTTTTTCGGGGGGCGGGAGTGTACTTTTCGGGGGTGGAATGGTCTGGCAAATTTAGTCGAATTAGATTATTTATTTCCATGCTCTTGCAGGAGAGAATATTTGTGTCCAAGATGACCAGAAACAAGAAAAGAAGAAGAAAATCTGCCCAAACCCGAAAACTAACTCCATTTCGTAGGGGGGGGGGGATTGAGGGGGTCTGGCTGAGGTCAAGATCTAATTATTAATTATTTGTTTTCTCAGACAACATTTCTAAGGACAGATTATTTATTTGCAATCTGCCAGCGCTAGCTTTTCATCTAAACGGCTGTCCTCTAACATGTTACGTAAATACATCAGTTTGCTTTTCAACGCAATACAGGCTAAATCCATCGTTGCAAACCGCGGCCAAAATGTACGATCCTCTCCCATACTGGGAGAGACCTATTGCGAACTCCGGACCGAGGCTTGAGGCGATGGGCTAAATCTTGACCAATGAAGTCCTTCCTAAGTATAATAAATAAATAATATTTAAATGATAAATAAACAATCCTCGGATACAATACAAATGAAAAATTATCGAATACAAATAAGAAATTTTACAATACAAATAAGAAATTTTACAATACAAATAAGAAATTATACAATGCAAATGGAAAATATAGAATGCAAATGAAAAGTTATACAATTCAAATGAATTTTTTACAATACAAATGGAAAATTATACAATACAAATAAGAATTATACAATACAAATGAAAAATATACAATACAAATGAAAAATTGTACAACAAAAATGGAAAATTATAGAATACAAATAAAAATTATACAATACAAATGGAAAATTTTACAATACAAATGGAAAAGATCGAATATTTCAACGTTTGACATGCCATATACATCACAACTGGGAATATATATATATATATATATATATATATATATATATATATATATATATATATATATATATATATATATATATATATATATATATATATATATATATATATATATATATATATATATATATATATATATATATATATGTGGTTGAAAAATGAAGATCTGATAACAATCATTTTAAAATGGTCCGAGATTCTGTTACTTTAGGGTAATTGTAGCTAATATTGTTTTAGGGTAATTGTATGTAATATTGCTTTATGGTAATTGTACCTAATACTGCTTTAGGTTATTGGATTTGCTCAACTTTTATTTTATTTTTAACACAACATGCACATACACAATATGTTTATGAATTCAAAATGACATTAATTTTTATTGAATACAGAAAAAAAGTTTGCTTCAAATTAAAAGCAATATAAAGCGTTTTATATAAATAATACAAAATATGGCTATTTGCGAATAAATATTGCTTCTACTTTTGAAATTTGCATGCTGTTTGCCAATGATATTTTGACTTTCTTCCGAACGCTTTCACGTATACCATATGAGTATAAATTCGAGATCATAATCTTAAAGACTATCTTTTAATAATATATCTAGAGCAGACTTGTTTCTCGAGCACAATTCAAATAGCAAGTTTACTCATCAGTCCACCATATAAAATCTTATTTATAACATTGTGACCCTCTATTTCAATAAATTATATACAGATATTAGTACGTGATTGCTAAAAACCTAATTGTACATGTTGAACCTGAGAGAGGTCTTGCAGGTCAAGGACGATTATTTGTTGAAATAATATCATGAACCGGGAGATATCCTAAATGTTTAAAAGGAAAGAGTCCATTGATACATAAAATAGTCAATCTGGGCGATTGAAACAGTGAATTTGTTTCTGGTTCAGGTGAGATTGCAATAGTCAAGAAATGTCATGCGACTTTCTATTCTCCTGTAAGCAAAGATTCGAGGCATATAGTTTTTGGTCTGTCTGTCTGTCCGTCCGTCCATCCATTCGACTAGCTGTCTGTTCATTTATTTGACTGTTTGTCCTCAAAAACGTTAACGTTGCCCATAATTTGCGAATGGTTGGCGCTAGGGCTTTCATATTTCACATATGTATTTCTTATGACAGGACCTTTCTTTTGGTACCAA